GCTATACGAAGTTATTACGTACATGGAAAGTCATAAACCCGGCTATTGTTAAGCTACCGGCATGGACTTTCCTTTTGGTCCTTTAGAAAAATTAACAATCAACAGGAAACAGAAATTCATTTTACATCATACCTTCTAGAACCTTCTAGAAGCTTTACTTATCATACGGCAAGAATTTCGTGCGGGCCGTGTGCCGAAAAGTTTATGTTACACGACACCACTTGACAGTCTCTCGGCGGGAGATAAGCGATTTGCGCTTCCCTTTGCGAGCCTTTTACTGAGACTAAAATTTGACGCACTGAATTAAAATATATTACCAGGGTGAATTAATATTGATTAAAATTCCTTTTCTTTAATAAAGAATTATATATCCACGTGTCAAACGACACCCTTATAATTTTGCATTCCAACATTCGAATACATAGGCTCATTTTAAATATTATAATATAAAAAGAGAATGAATTTCTGGATCCTCGATAATGCGGATCACGATATTTAATAATTACGACATAAAACTGGGAAGAAAGAATACTAGTATGAGATTGCAATTATTAACAAAAATCAATCAAGCGTACGGAAAATATATTAACTTTACCATTCTCTTAAATAATTCACAAAGCCCAAGTATATTTGAATGACATATTTCTCATAATTATAAAAATGATCTTTTATTATTATAATTCCAAAATTCTTTTGTTAAATTATATTCTCGCACATGAGAGCGAGTAATCTCATAGCGTAACGCTTGATTGACATGCGCAGAAGACATTCTATTGTCTCGCAGCAGCGGCCGCGCGCCGAGCCGAAATGCAGGTAGGCGACCGAGCGGGCCGCGCAGTTGAAAAAGATCCTTCATCGAGTATAGACGTTTTAAGCAGTCTAAAAAGGCCACTCGTCAAGTACAGACGTTGTCTCGAAATTCTAAGTCTTGCCAATTCATTACTAGTTCTTCGCCGAATCCTCCTCGAACAACGCTCTGGTCTACCGAAGCCTGCTATTTAATTACAACCGCATACTACTTCTTCCGAACACGCCGAATCTTCTTATTATTAAGGTAACAATAAGCAATTCACTTATATTCATTGCTAAAACCCTAGAAACTTAAAGATAATAATTGATTACTTATTCTTACTATGTTATAATTTTCATTGATAAGTTTGCATTGCCTATCCAACCATTATACAAATATACACATAAATACATATATTTTACAAAGCTTGTACTATCTTATATTCAATCATTTAATCAAATAGTAGTTTTGATTGATTTCAATTACAGTTACGTTTTTATTATTATCATATTACTACCATTATTGCTTATTATCAAGTTTTACCTCGCAATAATACATATATATATATATATATATATTCACATATTCAATTCCCTGTATTTATTTGTTTTATGTACAATTATATCTTGTTCAAGTATATATACACATATATATGTATATCCAATGATATTCATTATTATTTCCTGCCTCTTCGTTATCATTATTGATAACTGATATTTTATCTACTTATTTCTTATTTCATTGTGTCACATTGCGAATTATTTATCTTAAAATATGATTATTAATTATTATTATTATCGATGATTGCACGGTTTTGTTACTATAATACTATATCATTGTAATTTAGCATGTCGTTATAATATTTATAACTACCCAAGTAATATTACTCCTCTTTTATTCAAACATTATCATATTATATTTCGTGCTATATTTTAAAATACTACGAGGAAGTACGAAATCTCATATATTTGATAATTTTATGCTCTTTGCATGCATGTAATTTCAGAGTGTGATACTACGACCATATTATTCTCGATATTTACATATATATATAACTATCCGTCTCGTTGTCTTAAAAGTTAGATGGAACATAAAGCAACGATTACATTTTCATTACCATTTATTGCTATTATTAAATAATCATTTCTTACAGCCATTTAGATACTCACACGTAGTTCATAGTATACGAATTCGTTTAACCGCCGCGTTGTCATATAACTCTAACACTTTACTTCGCTACCGTCTTCACTACCTGCCGGAGCGACTCCCCGCTGAGGTAACGCCCGTGATTTTCCGCTCGGCCACAGGCGTTGCTGTCATCTGTAACATAAAGAAATAATTAACATTGCTATACCATTTCTCTTCGCATGCTATATTGCACGTGCTACTAATCATGCCTATCTCTAAAGAAATATGTGCTAAACAAGCTTATTCTTTTCTATCTGCAGACACTCGGAATACTTACTGTTTACACAATGTCAGATCAGTTAAGTAACTCCTCCGATAGCTGGCCCGATTTTCACCCATTATTTGAGGACATCCCTATGATAAACCGAGTCTGGGCTCGTACTGCTCGTTGTTGCATTTCCTTCTTCGCTAAACATAAAACTCTCGGCTGGATCATATGCGAAGAATGTGCTAAGGGCCTCGACCCCTTGCAGCGAAAACGATATATCGATGTTGGAACCCACTACTTAGCTGTTGGTGCAAACCAGGAACACGAACGCTGCGTGGACTGCGACCGATTGATCCCGGAGATCCGCCTGGCTACCAAATGTCACGATTGCCCGCAGATCTTCCATGACCGGGTCTCTAACGACCGATGCGGGATCGGAAAGGGCCCCCATTCAAGCCGCGACATTTATTATACTCATATCAAAGAAATGCATTTTGAACGAGCAGCAAATGGAGATATAATCAGATGCATAACTATAAACGAATAAATTGACAAACTGCTTTAAACTATTTCTACTATCATCTTTTCCTTCAGACAATAGCATGTTCCTCAGAATAAACACTCGAACCTCTTACCTCTCTCTCCAGCATGGACCCCCACAGCGTCCCTCCTCCGGTTGAGCCTTCAGAAGACGACCCCGTTCACCAACCTCCGCCGATGCCCCTTGATCTTTGGCTCCGCACCGCAATATGTTGCAAAGCGCTTTTCTACCGATATAAATCTGGCACTGGCGAACTTTTCTGTACGGGTTGTGTTTCTATACAGCATCAAGTAGAAGAGACATTCGAATTAGTAAATCGCCATTATTTACGATTCGGTTATTTAGAAGCCGAAGGATTTGAACATTGTTGCTCTTGCCGACAAATGATTACGAAACTGCGCACGGTGCGCCACTGCTCTATTTGCAAACTTTTCCGCGAAGACTTTGCTAAATACTTAACCTATTCCGAGGCAACTCCTCATTTAGACGAAGCAGCTTCTGTCGTCTGCATTTCCCAGGACTATTTCGACCTCTAGAAGTCACTTCCCCTAGCGAATAATTCCCTAACTCCCAACTTCCGGAGTCAAATATTCCTAAATCTATTTGTCCGCGTTCTGACACTTTTGTCCAATAATCCCGCCCACCGCAGGACGCGACATAGACTTCCTTCTTCTTCTTCTTTTACAATGGCTATCGCCCCTACCAGGGACCATACAGCCTGATACTAGTTGCTCCACCTCGGTGGGCAGCGGAAACGGAGTAAGTGAGATGGTGACGTATAGGGAAAAATGAAAAGCACTATACGATTATGTCCAGGGATTTGAAATATGTGGCCAATAAGGAACAGAATCTCGGAGAGCTCACAATTCGTGAGCATGGGAAATATGTCGATCGCGAACGTAGGGAAGTTATCCTTGATGTGTGTTCTCAACCTGTTTGATTTCTGTATGCAGAGCGGGCAATAGAAAATTATGTGATTTGCATCTTGTCTAGGATCGCCGCAGGGGCATTCTGGTGTATCTACAATATTTTTCCTGAAA